ACATTCTAGAAAGAAGAAAAGCGAAGACTGAAAATTCACAGCTTATTCGCATACTAGGCACGGCCTTCTGCGGAGTTAATACTATTTGGTTCCATTTTGGGCTTGACATATCTGAAAAATGGCAAGCAAGGCTGTATCTCACACTCCATGAGGTGTGAATTACCGCCTTGTCAAATGAGACAGTTCACAAAGTGTGGCATTGGGGTGTCATCCCAGGTCACCCAAACTCGACCGCCTGAATTTTTTGACCATTTAACTGCCCTGTGTGAAACACCTGTCTGGAACGCTAAATCCGAACTGCAGGTGATCAATGAGAAATTGGTCGTTAGAGGGCCATTGATGAAGTGAAAACTCCTCAAACAGGAAAGGGTTTAAAAATATTCTGGAAAGTTCTTTGCTGATCTGCCTTCAACAAATCTTGTTTACATTTGTTAAGCGCATGCTCTCTGCCAGGCTTCATTTTAGATGTTTCGCGTGAAAGACTTCATTTAAATTCTCACAAGAGACCTACAAGATAGGCATTATTGTCACCCACATTTTGCCATAAAGAAACCATAGCACAGAGAGCTTTCCAGACGTGCTCAAGGTCACATGAGTCATGCTGGGATTCGAATCCAGTCTAATTAGCAAGCTGTGTTCTTAAACTTGACTGTTAATAGCCTCAACGGCCACCTATTATAAACATCATAAACACGATCTATTAGGTGTGGTGAGATAGATACATATACATATCATAATGTCAAGTTTGGGAAGGTCTCCCCACCCCCCTTGCAACATGGTGAATAAAAATATGCAGAATTAAAAATCTAAATATCACTACAAGACAAAAAAAAACAAGAGGGCCCAGAGAAGCAGAGGAAGAACTAGCATCTCTGTGGCTCCTCTGTATCTCCAGCACTTGAAATGTCATCTCGCGTAAGCCTCAAATCTTACAAGGCGGACGCCGCCCCCATTTTACAGGTGCGGGGACCGTGGCTGGAGGTTAATGGCGCATGCTCACATGACTGCCACATTTAAAGCTGGATTTGCTTGGGCTGAAAGCCCAGACTTCTGTAATCACTTCTATTAGCATCTAACATTTTGTCTTTTTTATGTGTCTCCTGAGTATCAGTGCAAATCCTGTTAAAACACAAACAAACCTATTATACCTTATAGTTGGAAGCGAGTAGAATATCCATGTATTTATTTGCCTAAACCCTCACAAATGTGTCACTCCCCATCCTGGAGCCCCCTGTATCCCCATTTTATGTCTGACTCACATTCCCACAGACCTGCTTTATGCAGAAGTTCTGCTCCCTGGCCTCAGGTTTCAAAAATGAAATCTCCTGACTGGCAAACAGGCCCGAGGCCCCCGAAGTCAGCTGCCTGGCCCCACAACAATGAACAGTGGATGTGGAATGTCACTCAGTGTACATTCCAGAGAAGTTCGTCACCCAGCTCATCAGAACAAGCCAGGGTCATCCCGTGGCAGCACCGCTGGGTGTCACTGATGAATCTGCCCATCGCAGGTGCGGTCCTGGCCACGCAGAGCGGGGAATTGCAGACCATTTTCTCTTTCGTTTTTTAAAAATCACACTACGCGATTCCTTCGCTCTGACCTCACATATCCTGCTGTGAGGAGGAACAAGCCCAAATCCCCTTCAGACCAGGAAAGATAACCAACATGGCTAACCGTGGCTCTGAGTAGGAACCAGGGGCTGGTGACCTCCCCCTGCTGACAGTCATGCGTCTGAGACAGATGTCTACGCAGCGTTCTTTGTTAAGCAAAAAAGAAAAAGAAAATCAAGTCTCAATATCATCCTCATTCCTAACGAGAGGTTCAATACTCTCCCACTGCAGCCCCCAGATACCATTGTCTTTTTGAACCAAATGACAGTTACTCATTTTCCGGCCCTGGATAAACAAACTGGGCATCTTGAGAGGGGTTTTTCCGTCCTTCCACTTCTGTAAACTCTGTGATATTTTAGCATGAAATCACTTACTAAAACTGTAAGGGCCGAGGGGCCGGAATGTCATGTCATACCTGACAGAGTCGGACAGTCCTGTGTCCAGCCCTGACCCCAGCTCAGCCATCGCCTGGCTTGGCGATCTTAAACGAGTCTCCACGTGACATCTGCAAGCCCTGGCAGCACCTCTGTACCAATGAGAAAAAAAAAGTGTCCATTGTGGGAGAAACAGCACGGCCAGTATGGTGCCAGTGTGACTGCTGCTGGACTGTGGCCCCTTATGACATCTGCAAGCCCTGGCAGCACCTCTGTGCCAATGAGAAAAAAAAAAGTGTCCTTTGTGGGAGAAACAGCACGGCCAGTACGGTGCCAGTGTGACTGCTGCTGGACTGTGGCCCCTTCACCCCTGGGCTGGAGCCTCGGGCGTAACCCGCTCAACCACTCACAGAACGCTGTGTCCCTGCTTCTATTCATCAGTTGTGAAGCAGGACAGATGATATGTGTCCCCCCACGCCGAACCCTCTACCCCGATGAGGCTGAAATGACATGCAGAACGGTGCATGAATCAGCCTGTGGACGAGAGATTTCTGCTCTGGGTCAACCCCACCTCGCTTCCCAAGCCCTTCCTAACACTTTTAATGAAAAGCAAAGACACCGCTTACCCCCATGAGATAGTTTCCCACACGCCCACACGCCCACACTCAGAGAACCTTCCCCTTCCAAATGTGATCAAAAGCAGGGCGGGTTCCGTAACTGTGCAGCCTGTGCCGTCGTCACACAGGCTCCATGCTCAGAAAAGCCTTGCACTGGATTCAATACTCTGAGGTCACCATCTGCAATTCTTAATCATTTTTTTTTTTAACAAGAAGCCAGCCCTACATTGTCGCTTTGCATTGAGCCCCACAAATTATGTTGCTGGACCAGCCAACAAGGCTTTGGAAGCACCAGATAGCTTTCTTATACCCCACACAAGATTTAGAAAGGAGAATGGGATATGTCACTCCTTTGCAGAATGTGAAGGCTCCAGTGTAATTAGAGTTTGAGGCAGGATGGCGCACTGGACCTGGCTTAGGTTTTAGGAGGCACATTGAGCTGGGAGCAACCCCGCATCCTGCAAGTTCTCAGACACATTCCCTAACCTGTCTGAACCTAGCTTTTCTTATCTGTAGACTACTAATGCCTACTCTTCCCCGTTAACGATGAAGAAAAGGTCTGTAAATGAAGAAAATGCCTGGCACAGGGCAGGTGCTCAACAAATATAAGTCCCTTCCCGACTTGTTTCCACAACAGATTCTTCAAGATAGGCCAGGCGCTCCCAGTCCAATGAGCAGTGGGGTGACAGGTGGCCTTGAAGATCCCTTTGGCTCTAGGATTACATGATCCTCCATTAACCAAGGCCTAGAAGCCAGCCCTCCTCCAGTCCGTGGATATTAGTCAGGACACGCTTGATCGCAAGGGCAGAAACCCAACTCATATTAACCTAGGAGAAAGTGGTGGTTTGCTAGTTAATGACACTGGAAAATGCAAGGATACAGGCTCTGCTGGATCTGAGGATTTATACAATGTTATTCAATCTCTCCCTCTCCCTCTCCCTCTCCCTCTCCCGCTCCTTCTCTCTCTTTCTCCTCCTTCCTCTCTCCCTCCCTCTCCATAGTTCCACCTTTTGGTCTCTGCTTTGCTTTATTCTAAACTCATGCTCCCTTCACGTAGTAGACAGCATGGCTGCCAAAATCCCTAGACCCGCGCTCTCTCAGTGTAGCAAGCCCAGTGGGGAGAGACATATCTCTCTCAATATCTATATATCAACCAAGGAAAAGACTCTAATCGATTCTGCTTGGATTATATCTCCACTCCTGAACCAGTCATGACTGCCAGAGTGACAGGGTACACGCCCACCCAGGAGCAGGATGATGGGGCTCCAGCCTCATGATTGACAGTCCCAACGAGACCACAAGAAATGGGAGAAGGGGAAGTCCCTCAAAGTAATAGGGATGCCAGACAGATGGATGCAACACAGTCACCGTGCCTTACGGGGTTTGCTATTCTTTTCCCATAGCTGCCAAAGGAAATGAAAGGAGGAAGAAGGGAATCCGGTGGGGTAGAGAGTAGCACTTAAACCAGGCTTCATTGAAGTATAAGAAATAAGTGACACACATCGTCAGAGAGAATCTCTGTGAGGAAAGACAAAGAACTGAGAAAACGCAGCGCGTGTTCAAAACTCCTAGTTGCATAACTGCAATTAACTTCACATCTTTAAACTTTTGATAGTGATGCATTTATTTTCATGTTTACTTTTTGTTTAGGCAACCAACACTGGTTTTTCATTTTAGTGCTAGCAGAAATTTTCCTTTTAAAAATAACTTTAAGTAAAAATAAAGTAGATTCGTTGAAAAGAAAATAATAAACAAATAATAATATAGACTTAGGTAGCTGTGGACAAATTAGTGCATGTATTTTGCCAATGACTAAGGTATGAGAAACATCAGTTTAGTATATAAACAAAACTTTCTCTCGCTATATAGCAGTAAAACAAGTAACTGTGCTATTGCTGGTCCATACGGTGTCTCCGGCAAACTAAATATTATATTCCTCAGTGTGTGAAGGGCAAAGCTTTAGCTTAAGTTACCAAATGGATCTGTGATAAGATCCTAGGACCCTCAGCTTCTGGCTGACAACACCTATTCCCCAGACAACTTGTGTCTCATGGCCAAGGGAGAATCAGGATATTGGCCCATTGTTTATGTTTCAGAGAGTCACGCAGGAGTAGGATTGATCTGAAAATTGCTCACCCCAGAGCTGGCCAGTATGATTGCCCTGGAGAACAGAGGGGCCCTTCTCCATGGCCACTCAAGGTTCGCTGGCTCCAAGAAGTACCAGCCATCTCTCTGGAGCTGGAGTTTACTCAGCTGATTTCCACATGTACCCACATGTAAGAGGGAAGCTGGTGCCTCATTTGAATGACTGCTTGATCTCCCAACTCACTATCAATTTCAGCCCAAGATAATCTAAAGATTCTTCTTATTGTCCACTCACCTTTTCGATTACCTTCTCTAGGCCAAAGCGAGAAGTCATCGGGATTTTGATGTGGATCAAGATGCCAAAAAGCTAAACAAAGCCTGCAAAGGAAAGGGTATGAGAGACATTTTGTTTGCTAATTTCCTTTTGCTAATTAAATTCTATCTCATATCTAACTTTCCCATGACCGTAGGAAGATAACCTCTCAGTTATCTCGTGTCTTCCAAGCTAACCCAGGTTGGTTACTTCTAAGGTTCTCTTTATAAAAGATTCCAAAGTTATAATCAGATCCTACTGCTTTTCAGCATTCAATATAACAGTTAGAAATTAAATATTACAACATTTAATTTGACCTGGAGGTAGAAGAAACTTCATGAGAAGTATAGTCGATGCAATTCTAATGTCATCTAAGCCTCTCCAATCCCTTTCATGGGAGGTGGCAGGACTCGGGTCAAATGAGAGCTGAGTTAGGGATCTGAGAGCTGTGTCTAATAAATCAAGTGAACATAAAACTGTGGCCGAGGTCAAGAATCAAGGGTCAAAACTGGAGAAGCTGTTTCTATCCTGAGGGTAAGTGAATGGCCAACAATAAGAGGCTAGGCAACAGATCAGGAGTGAGGTAACCCCATAACGAGGTGGGACAAGGGAAGAACCATCTAGGATTAAGGCCACGAAGAGAGGCTCTGGGAACCAAGGAGATCACTGATGAACTAAGGTCCTCATCCCAGAAGTGTAGGTTTTAGTATATTTTTGTACCCATCATCACTAATCCCAGATCATTTTCATCACCCCAAAAGAACCTCACATTCATTAGCAGCCACTCTACCTCCCCCTTCCCTTCAGGCTCAGGCAATCATTAATCAATCTACTTTCTGTCTCCATGGATTTGCCTATTCTGGACATTTGATATAGACGGAGTCATACGTTATCTGACCTTTTGTATCTGGTTTCTTTCACTAGGCATAATGTTTTCCAAAAATAAGCATTAGATTTTTACTTAGAAGTAAATTAGTGATTTACTCTCCTAGGAATGGGTGGGCACTGTGGTAGAATAAATATGGCCACAAATTCTTTGTGTAACTCCGGAGGACGGGACTGAGATCCGTGGCGGAAGTTCTAAGAAGACATATTTTGCTTCAATATAAGGAACTAGCTAACTATAGAATAGTCTGCCTCGCCCAAGAAATGTCAGAAAAGTCCCAAGGGAGTAGGGGTCGAAGAAGATCTGGAAGGGAAGTGGTAGAAGGGATTTCTACACAGTAAATATTCTTGAAGAAATCAGAGGGGTGGGAGAGAGAGAGAGAACATTCTAAATGAAGAGTGACAATGAGGGCTCTTGGTTTGGGGACAGCAGGGGACGAGCAGAGACGAGCTTCTCCTCACTCATACCCTGACCTGGCTCAGCTCGTATTTGGATAACAGCTGTCTGGAGACCCGTCTGACTAGCAGAGGCAGGATGTTTACAGTTAGGAGCTTTGCAGAGTGGCTGACCCAGCCTCCCAGGTGCTTCCCCGCTGCCTCGCAGGTGAAGTCCTGACACCTGGATGTGGGTCGGAGACAAGAGCTGAAGTGGGTGTGAGAACGAGTCTAAGCTGCAATTAATGATAAACCGCACCCCCCCCTCCCCAAAACTCCTCGCCACCCTGCGAATTTAGTTCTGTGAGCACGGGTGGAGCACCTACTGAATGGCAACGTCCTGCAGTGCTACCCCTCCCCACTGGACTCTGTGGATGTGGCCACAGTGTGGGACCACTCTCATCCTGGCTGCTGCTATAGAGCACATTCTATGTGCCAAGCGCTACGCTGAGTAGGGCATGGACATCATCTGTGTGACCCTCCCCACGACACTGTAAAGTTGTATGATGACAGTTTAACAGATGAGAATGCCACAGGCCAGAGGTTAAATGTTTTCCCCAGGTCTAAAGAGTTATGAAAGGAACTTGGGCGATCAGAAACTAGGGTCACCTTGGAAAGCTATGATTTGGTCGAAGGTCTAGAATTCCAGCCTCTACTCATGAGTGCAACCCAAAGTAAAATTCTATCGTTGGCGAAAACTGTCATCAAGACCATGTACCCATCTCGCTGACATACCATCCCTACCAGGGCTGGATTTGAATGTGTAGGGCCATGCTTTACGATAGCCATAAAAGTGAGCCATATAGGTCACTTTAAATTTTAGAGAAGCCAAATTTTAAAAGAAAAAAAAGCTGGTGAGATTAATTTTAATAATATACTTCAGTTAATACTGTATCAAAAATATCAACAGACAATCCATATAAAAAAATTTTAATGAGGTATTTGACATTCCTTTTCTTCGCATTCGGCCTTCAAAATATGATATGTATTCTACACTTACAGAACATTTCAGCTGGGACCAGCCACACTTCAAGTCCCCCACAGCCACGTGTGCCCACCATATCGGGCAGTGCGGGTCCAGAGGTCCCACGTACCCAAAAGATTCTGTGCACTTTCTGCCCACTCACTTATGCAATTCAAAATAGTATGAATGCTATACTGTAAAACAAGATTCGATTTTTCCAAGTAGTAACATGAAACTTACAGGTTGCCTTGTTGTTTCTTTGGTGCCACTGCTTTCCTGTGGCTTAAGTACCCACCTGATCTGGGTCTTTGTTAATCCACAACAGCCCTCTACCCCTCCCCCAACACTGACCTCTTTGTCAGGCCTTCCTCTCAGGCTCTGTGCCCTCTGCTGCCCCCACCCCAGCCTTGTCCTTTTGAAGAGACTGCCCTAAAGCTTAGGGGGTATGGACCCCAACATCCATTATCTTCTCTGAAATGTAGGAGGATGTTTGTCATTCTCACTTACAGAAACACAAAAACAGGCTCTTAGAAAAGCTGCTATGGAGATGATCTAGTCCACTCGCTTCTCACACTTTAATATGCATTCGAGTCACCAAGGGTTATTATATTAATAATCTTGTTAATGTTGCAGGTTCTGACTGGGTGTTCTGAGTGGTTCATGGGATTTTGCATTTCTAATAAGTTCCCAGGTGATGCTGATGCTGCGGGTCCTGGGACCACACTCTGGGGGGCAAGGTCTAGTCCATCTGAGATCCACAGAGACTAAGCAATGCTGCTCAAGCCACACGGGAGCAGAGCCAGGCCTGGACCTCAGACCTCATGACCCTGAGCTCAGTGTTATTTCTACTCCCCAACTGTGGGAATGAACTTCAGACCTGGGTTCCAGCTGCTGCTCTGCCGCTTACCAATGCCGTGACCTTCATTTTCTCATCTGCAAAATGGGGCTAATAATGTCTCCTTACGGGGAGGTGCTGAGGATAAATCAGGCAGCACAGGGCCCCGTACTGCACTGGCCTTCGCTATATGCTAATCTCCTTCTTTTAAACAATATGCTCAGATCCAAAATCCACACGGAGCCCATGAGATCAGTCTGATCGGCGAGTAGACCCGCCCTTGATCAGTCTTTGTTCTCCATGGCTGGGGGTGTAGCAGGTTGAACAGTGCCCCCCACCCAAAAATATATACCCCCCACCCCGGAATTTATGATTTGACCTTATTTGGGTAAAGGGCTCTCGCAGATGTAACTACGTTCTCTGAAATGAGATCATCCTGGATTAATTACCCGAGCAGGACCCATAACCATCCACAAGTGTCCTTAAAAGGCCCAGAAGAGAAGACACACAGAGAGGAGGCCATGTGAAGACAGGCCAAGATTGGAGCGATGCGGACACTGACCAAGGAATGCTCAGGGTGGCCGGCAGCCTCCAGAAGACGCAAGAGGCGATGAACAGATCTGCCCCAGAGGCTCTGGGGTGGGGGTGGGGACACTGACACCCCGATTTCAGACTTCGAGCCTCTCGAATTGCAAGGGAATAAACAGCTGTTGTTCTGGACCACCCAGTTTGGTAATTGTCGCAGCAGCCTCATAAAACTAATCCGGTGGGCAAGTGGAAAGTAATGACCCTCCCGCACAGGAAAACTTCTCCCTCATTCCTTACTCCATCTACCTTCCCTGCATCTCCCTTTCCAGAGAAGGAATCAAGGGCCAGGACGGCCGGCGGTGTTAGCAGAAGAAATTAGCACTTGGGCACCAGGAATGGGGATTCAGCCCCAGGTCCAGGGAGGCAGGCCGTGGCTGGACCTGTGGGGAAAGCTCGGACCCTGGTTCCCGATGTGGATCACTCGTCCAGCACGTGGGCCCCTGGAGTGAAGCAGAGGGCACTTGGACTCCCGTGGCCGCCGTCCTGGGGGAACTCAGCTCGGTGTCACCAAGAAAACTGTGAGAAAAGCAAAAACCAGGAGCCCCGCAGCCCGCCCAAAGCTGGCGGTCACGGGCTTCTGACCTGTCCTGTGTCATCGCCTGACAGTGTCCGATGCACAGGGAGGGCTCAGGTTCCCTCTTTTCTCAGATTTTAAAAAGCCTTTCCCGGAACCCCCGGGGATGGCCCCGGTGCCTCAAACCATTGTAAATGTTTACAGGAAATTGTTCAGCGGCACCGACACATGACACATGCATTGTGAAATGTAAGATGAGGTCACCGTTCAGTAAATCGCCTCCTGGTCGGGTAGTGGGGACGGCTCCCAGGATCCACCCGGGACCCAGACCCCAAGGGCCTGAGCGAATCTGGTCATTCCCATGCTGCCCTCATCACCAGTCTGTTGCTGAGCCAGCACAGGGCGGCCCGGCTCTCTGGTGTCTCTTACGGCATTCCGGGAAGAAAAGGCTAAAAAACATTATTTTTTTGAAGTTTAACTCGATTTTTCTGATGCGGGATGATCCAGATGTGGGAGGACTGTGGCATCCGGGTAGAGGGTTTCCAGTTTGTACCTGCTGCATACAGCCCACCTGAGTAGCCTATGCAGCTTACACCAATGCAGAGAGACGAGGTTAGGTCATAAGGCAGTGCAAACGCCTCCGTTCATTGATTTAGTCACAGACGTATGCAGGCGTTTAAACTCTCATTCACTCAGCAAGTCATCTGATAGATAGTAAGAGACTTCTGTGTGAATGTAGCAGTGAGCAGAAGCCCCTGCCCCGTGGAACTTGTAGTGTGGTGTGACAGAGACAGGACGGAGGAGGAGGACAGGCCCTGGGAGGGTCACTGGGGCAGAAATGCCTCTCGCGTCCCAGAAGAGTCCAGTGAGTTAAGTCTTAAAGAAGTGGTGGGGGTGAAAATGAGGGTCAAAGATAAGCGTGTTCCAGGTTAGAGGGAACAGCCCGTGCCACGACCCAGAGGTAGGAAAGGAAGTGTCACTCATTCTAGAAGCTTCAAGTGATCCACAGAGTTGATGGGAAAGAGGCCTGGAGTGGGTGAGTGGGGAGGGACAAGACTTTGAAAGGCAAGTAGGAACCAATCCAAAGCCCCACTAAAGAGCCGAGATTTTACTCTGGATTCGAAGGGGCCCGTAGTGGAAGGTTTGAAGCAGAGGAGGGAGGAGGCTGCTCCACTCATCAGAAAGACCATCCCGGGTGGGCAAATGCCGCCCAGAAAGGGTGAGAGTAAGGCAGGAACCCCGTGTGGGGATCAGGGGTTCTCAGGGACATGACCGAGGTGACGATGGAGAGACATGGATGATCTGAGGGATACTAAGCAGGTGGATTAGTGAGGTCTCGGGGGTGACTAACTGGATGCGAGGTGAAGGGAA